ATCTCCAGGCCTTCATGTGAACCTGTTTACTCAACACTCTAGACCCAGCCATAGCTGTTAGAACCCTCTTTTTAAATTCAGCAAGTTCAACTGTGTTTGCAGCACCAATTATTTCAGCCACATCACAATTGAGACTTAATTTAATTTCTAAAGAATACCTCCAGTAGATCATTGTTTCAGGTCATTGTCTCAAAGTTGGTAATGTTCCTGAGGTGAACTTGAACATGGTTCCATTTCTAGACTAAGTTGTAGCAATCTGCTTCAAATGCTCCTGAATAAAGCACCGGACTGATAAACAGAGTTACAAGAAGCAAAAAGCTGCCTAAGTACTCGTTAGAAGCAAGGCACAGTGGTAGTGACCACAGCAACTGAGAAAAATAAAGGGTTTGTAAAACAGTGAAGCAATTTTGGAATCAGATTTGGGTTCCAATTCCCATTTGATAGCCTGCTAAATAGTGACCATGGGCAAGATCCTCAACATCTCTGTGCCCTGGTTTCCTCATCAGTACACTGGGGCTAACAACAGTATTGATGTCAGGAAGTTGTTGAGAAGATGGTTAAGGTAAATCTGTACACACATTTAGTGCTGAGTCTGCACTCAAAAAATGTTGGCTCTGGTTATTAAATTGATTCTCATCCTCAAAGATCTTATATACACTTATCAATGAAAATATTCAGAAGGAAAGAATGGTACTAAATGATACATATTAAGTGAGCAGTACTGGTCACGAAAGATGCAAAACTTTAGGAATGCAAGGCACCCCTTCATCTAGGGATGGTAGAAGGTCTCCTGGGAGTGGTAAAACCAAAGCAGATGGGGCCGTGCAGGACTACAGGCCCCCTGCAGCGGGCACTTACTGTTTGCTAAACACAGTGGGGCACCTTGTATGTAATCGCCACAAGCTACAAGGTAGATACCTTTAAATCCCCAATTTATAGATGAGAAGCTGTTTTACGGATAATGGCTGAAGCTCACACAGGTTTAGTCATTTCCCCAAGTCACCCAACCGGTGGCAGATCAAAGTTTAAAATCACCCCGTCTGACAACCCATCACTGTGCCATTGTTGGGAAGAGGGGTTGACGGGAAGATAAATCATTCCATTGTGAGGCAGGAAGGGACAAAGTAATCTTATTAAATGGCAAGTGGGAAGCAAACAATATGTAATTTAAAAAGAGAAAATAAGGGTAGAAAGGTGGGTTAGAGCCACAGGGAATGGAAAGCTATGGAGTTTGAGCTTCAGCCTGTGGACAATGAAGAATCTGTTTTGTTTGTGGTTTAAGTGTGTGCTTTTGATCAAATACTACCACCACCACCACTACCAAGAGCATTTATGGAATACCAACTAAGGGCCGGGTCCCAGGCTAAACCATTTGCATACATTACTTCCAAAAGTTACAATTTGCAATTGAGGTATTATTACCTCCATTTCACAAATAAACAAAGCCCTGAGTGGTCAAGCCCCTCACTGGGATGACTCCAGCATGGTGGGGTTCATAAGTGAGTGTGAGCAAAGTCAAAGTCAATACACTTCCCTCTAAAAGAGTACTGCAGAAAAACCTCCCTTGCAAAAGAGAGTGGGGGAAAAAAAGAAAAAGAAAAACAGAGGGAACTAGTCCGAAACAATATACCAATCCAGAGTAAGGAGACAAATGTCTTAAATGGAGTCACTGAAAATGGAAGGGAGGTGACAGAGAGCAAATGTGTTCATGACCTTTTTTTTCATTTACTCCATTTCTGTGTCATGATCTGCTCCCTGAAGTAGAAACCAAGTTAGTAATTATTCCAGTTTCTATTACCAGCCTTGCCTGTAAGCCTGATTTGAGCCCTGTTGTTAGCCTGAGAGCGAACACTGCGTTTAGTATTTACCTGTCCTGTCACAGTGTTATCAGGGCTAAAATACGGCATCATCCTCTAATCTGTTATCTGTATTGAAGGGTAATCATTCAAAAGAATAAAACTAAGCCTCCACATCCAATAAATCACATTATGCTTCACATATCAACGCTTTAAAAAACCTGACCTAAACACATAGTCTGTCAAAACAGGAGGACACATACGCTTAAGCTCTAATGAGCTCTGCCAAATCCTACATTATTATTAAAGTTCATCGTGAGCTCAGAGGTCACACATTTTTATAAAATGGAATGTGGTATCAATATTTGTTGGGCTGCTTTCTAGTTAATATTCTAGAGAAAGTTGCATAATAAAGCAGTAGGAAATACATGCATTATGAATATATCTTTCAAGCTAAGGCAAAAGCTAAATAGACAATTACTTAACATTATGTCATTTTTTGGAATTAAGAGTTAGGAGCTTGGACATTCATGTAATTTTTCCAAAAACCCAAAACACTTTTGCACTAAAACCTTAGCTATAGTGCTCCTCATTCAATAGCTAACTGCAATATGTTCAGTGGGAAATCAGTAGTAGAACAGGAACACGCAGAGTTGAAATTCATAAAGATAAAAGAGTATAATTTTCCTGTCCAAATCCACAAGTTAATACATGAATATTCCCAACAATTTACAATATTAATTTGAAATATCAAATGTGTTTCTGAGAATAAAATTATGAAAGAAATGGCACCTTAGAGTCTCACTTACTAAGGATAAAAACAAACATGGTTTGTGTACTGCATTCACCAAAAAAAAGATGTATATATAGACACATGTATATACATATATATGTCTATATATATATGTCTAATATCATACATATATATGTCTATACATCATATATACATATTTATGATAAAGCAAAGTAACAGCATAAACAGTCTAATTTTACAGCTCTTAATTACATAATGATCTGTGGTTTGTGTTTTTTAATCTGTTGGACTTAATTTTATTTCTATGTGCAAACACATACGTGGATATTAAAGAATTCTGCTCACCTGTGCATATTCAGACCCAAATATCATGAAACATTTAGCAGTAAAATCCAGTCTCTGAAGGCAGGCTTACCACTACGCCACTATTCAGTGTAAAGATACAACTGCCTTCATAATAGACAGAAGCTAAATCGTTTTTTTTTTCCTTTGCATCACTTGAGGCTTCCTGCAAACCCAGTCATATAAACAACTTCCTTCACCTTTTCTTCAAATCTGAGTGTTTAATTAAGCCATATATCATCGCAACCCCTCTAGTCCAGCTGTCTGTCAGAACAGAGGTTTACTGCAACTCCACCCTTTTCCCACCTTCAGCTTCAACAGTGCATTTCATTTTTTTTTCCTATCAGAGAAAAAAATTAAGATGAAGAGTTCCAATCCTCAAAGTAGTTCAGTGAACTGTCACAATAATATCATTTAACCCCAGGGAATTTTCTGTTTAATTGCCACTCTCTCCCTTCCCCCAAAGGGCTACATCTTCTTTCAATGGTGTAATGGAAAGCACCGCATTAAGAAAGACAGAGAGAAAACATAATCGGTTTAAATTTTTAAACATCTAACCTTTTCACCAGTCACTTTTAATCATTTGCACCTGTGACTTTAATAATCAGCCTGGCAATCAGAGGACAGATCTAGGAGAGATGCCCCAATCACAACCATTATTGTATTAAGGAGCAAAAGAAGAAAGCGATTTTCTCACATGTGACACTAAGAAAGTTTTACATGTCAGTAACACCCAATCTTGGGAAGAATAGAGCTCCAGGTACTTAAAATCTTCATTTTCTAAAAGTCAAAAGATTTTCTTAAAATATATACCTTACTGTATTTGTAAATATTAAGTTTTTACATTTTGTAACAATTTTTCAACTTTAGGGCTCAGAAAAAGAAAAAAGCTCTAGAATAAGCAGAACATTGGGGGAGGCAGTGAGATGTTTGAACCATTCTCCCCAAGGAGAAATCAAAACCATTACATTATACCACATAACCATTTATTTCTCTCTGCAAGGCAAACTTAGAGCACAGTGGTAATATTCTGAAAATGTGACAGAAGTTCTACATCAGTGAACACACAAGTTTGGAAGGGACAAATATGGTCGCTGTCAGTTGTAGTCTGCCCTCAGCAAGTCAATAGCCCTGTGGGTGAGGCTCCCATATGGAAATCTTCCTTGACTGCCCAAGGCTGCATGGGATTCCCTGTGAACAGCATCTGGACCACACCTTGTTGGGTCACACAAGCAGCTGACAAGAGCTGGAGGAAAATGCGTCTGGTCCAGAGATGAGAGGACAGGGCCAAGAATCAAAATATGCCCTCTAAAATTTGATGGGGAGGGCCCCTTAAAAAGGCTATTTATCCAGTCATGTTTTTCTAATCAGTCTTGGCCATTCACCGGCAGATGTTGGTCATTCTGGGGACTAACTGGTAGGATTTTGTGGTTCCTGCAGCTGCCAGCCTTTCATAACCTCAGTGATGTTGTGGAAGCATCCATTTAGTGTATAAATATGCTTTTTTTTTTTGCATTAAAACACTGCCAAGTGAAATATTAGAGAACAAACTCCCCACCCAGTGGAGAAATTTTCCAGTTTCAAAGCATCTGGGATGAAGATTCCAAATTACCTGTAGCAAAAATTTCTTCTAGATTTTTTAAAATCCTCTTGCTTGTTGAGGAACCTACTGAGGAGCCTGCCAAAGATGACACCCACAGTTCAGATTACTGGTCCTACATTTACCTAGTTAGGGCAGGAAGAAGTGTTTGATGGTTACCCAGGATCCTTCCACTTGTAGCAGGAATGAACACCAAAAAAAAAAAAAAAAAAAAAAAAAAAAAAAAAAAAAAAAAAAAAAAAAAAAAAAAAAAACATCAGGACACTCAACTCCTTAGAGATTTAAAAGACTTCCAGAGGAATAAAGAGGAAAGAAATCTCTCCCTCCCCACCTTCACCCCCCACCCTGTGTGTGCCCTAGCCATGTAATTCCATGCAGTTCCAGAGAGAATCCTTTACTCCACAGGGCTCCTAGATCTGACCCCAGCAAAGCCAGGTTGGTCATCCTTCTCCCCACGCTTCCAATCTCCATACCAACCCCTCCCCACCACCTCGGGCCACCTCCTTACCTGATAATGTCGTCGTTGTGTCCCAAGAAGAATTTTTGGCTGTGCTCTCGGGTGTTGTAAACCACCCCGACCCCAGCCACAAAGTAGACCACCTCCTTGCCGGCCGTGTAGTACAGGTTGTTGCGGCACTGGTGACCCCGGTACCCGTACACCCACTCCAGCCGGAGCTGGCAGCTGGGAGCTGTCCGATCCGCCATGATAAGCCGACCCCACTCGTCCCCCGGCTCCCCCGCGCGCGGGTCCGCGGCCCCTGCGCTCCGGGTCTGTCCTCGCCAAGACTCGGGCTGCGGAGGACCTGCAAGGACTCAGTGTGCAGCGCTGGGCGCTGATTTCCGCGGCGACGCACAGACACAGCCCAGTGCGCCGGCCGCCACCATCATCCGCCGCCGCCGCCGGAGATGAGCCGCCAGTGCGCGGCCGCCAGACCCCGCCGGGCGCCCCGGCTCCCTCTCCCCGGGCAAGGCGTCTTCGCGGGCGCCAACACCCGCACGCACACGCCTCACTGCACCTGCGGGCTTCGTCCCCCAGGAGAGGTTCTTGGGGGGGTCACCCCGCCTTTTAAATCAGGGATCTGCATATCCAAACACTGATTACCCAGTTCGCTCACTGAAGTTTGCAGTGCGTGGGGGCTTCGCAGCAGGCAACGGGATTTATTCTGTGACAGCTTTGATTTGACAGAGAACCCGGGCAAGCTTTGCCATCACCATCCTTGGATCCGAAACTGACAGTCTGTACCCAGGATGCAGGAGAAAGGAAGAAAGAAACAGATTTTTTGTATCAGTCACCAGTCCAAGAAAATGATCCCCAGACTAAACCAAGGTTTTTTGTTTTTTGTTTTTTTAATTGTCAACTATTCTCCTTCTCCCTCCAGATCCATTTCCTTAATGATATGAAATATGCCCAAAATGCTTCTCGTTGCTGATATGATTGAAGAGAATACTTGCTGTTTCCCCATTAAATCAGGGTGAATATGCAACGGTCATTTTTTTTAGATGCTTCAATTAGTTGTCATGTAAATATTTTAAAATCACATCCTCCGTGAAACCTCTCTTGACCGAAAAAAATCATGAAGAACTTAGCAGTTCTCACTAATCAGCAACTCCAAGTGCAAGCGTCATGAAAGATTTTTCTGAATTGGAGGAAACGAGACACTAGTGCAGTTGGAGGCAGGAAAGCGCTACCTACTAACGCTCCTGGTCCCGAAGAAATTAAATAATTAACAAGTGGCAAAAATCGAGTGCCCCGCTTCACGAAGGTCTGAACTAGCTACGGGGACCCGTGGGCTCAAAGGTCAGCCTCTAGCCAGGCGGGGGGTGGGGGCCGGGACGCACTCCGCGCCCCCCACCCCCCAACAACGTGCGCCCACACTACCCTAGCTTCGGCTGCCGCAGGTCCGAGGGAATGCCAGCCCCCAGGGACAGCCCGACCCGCGCGCACTGCCTCGCTGTCAACGTCCTGCACTCCTCCCACACCGGATCCAGCCTAGTCTGCAGAGCATCCCCGCTCTCTCCGCCTCTAACCTCTGCTCGGAGCGGGCGCCGCCAGCACGTCCCGGATCGCGCACGGGCGAGCGAAATCCTCTGCCTGCCCTCCCTTCCCCACCTCCCGCACCCGAGGATGGGCTTCGTCACTGGGGCGCAGCGGGAGACGGGTTCTTCCTCCAGCGGGCGCTCCGGGGGCGGGGCCACAGCGCAGCTTTCGGGAACCGCGGCGGCCGGTTACTAGGCGAGATCACGGCGCTTGGAAACCGCGACGCCCCAGAGCCTGGGGCCGCCCCTCTCTCTCCCCGCCCAGGTTTCTCCCTTCCTCGATGCGTTCTGGGAATCGTAGTCCTTTCAATGCCGACTCGGTTAGGGAGCCCTCGGAGCTGGACCACAAGTCCCAGGATTCCGCACGCCCAGAGGGGGCCGTGCAGAGGCCATTACCGGCGTCGGTGGTGCCTCCTGTTCTCCCGCAGAGCAGAGGAAGGCGCATCAAGGGCGAACGCTTGTCAACCGCCCTGCGATCCCTAAGTGACTGAGGCGGTGGCGTGCGTGCGTGTGTATCTATGGAGAAGAGCAGTGGAGTTGGAGTAGAGATAATCTCTATGGCCCACCTCGAGAATTTCTTCTGCACCAGTGCCTGAGGGTTACTCTAGCTAGCCGACTGGAGCCCAAGTTTGTTTCCTACTTCAGTTTTCTTTTTTGTTCAGATGGGTTCTAATCTGTTAAAGTGCGGTGCTGCCACATTTAAGAAAAATGCTGGGGGATGTGGGCTCACTCTGCCTTAACCAGAGCCTTCCGTGAGCTACCTCCTAAATTACGACGGGATTGGGGAATTGAAGGACAACCAGATTTTGAAAATGGGAAGGTGAGAACCAGCCTTGGCCTTCAAACACGGATGTCTGTGGATGCCACTACCCAAAGTGAACTATGAATTCCGGAGTAGCCCATTTTCTTATTGGGACCACAGCAGACCTGTGGAAAGAGATTTCAAAATTCCAGTGACTAAAGACTCAAAGGATGATGGAAGGGATATTGGGAGCATATCGTTTATTTTCCTCTCTGAGCTCTCCTGCAACCACTTAACTAGTTCTTCAACTACCTCAAGTTTTTTTTTTTTTTTTTTAACGTTTATTTATTTTTTGAGACAGAGAGAGACAGAGCATGAACGGGGGAGGGTCAGAGAGAGGGAGACACAGAATCTGGAACAGGCTCCAGGCTCTGAGCTGTCAGCACAGAGCCCGACGCAGGGCTCGAACTCACGGACCGTGAGATCATGACCTGAGCCGAAGTAGGCTGCTTAACCGACTGAGCCACCCAGGCGCCCCCAACTACCTCAAGTTTTAATACAGCCCTCTGAGCGGTAGGAAAGCCTCCAGAAGATTAGAAGTGCCAGAGTTTGGAAGAGCAGTTGCTGCCTGCAACAATGAAGATGGGAATTGGTTTCAATGTTATTTTTAAGGGAACAGGAATCTACGAATATGTGAGGTGGCATTGTGCAGATAAGGGCACTACCAAGAACAAAAACAAAATTCCTGAAGAAGATTTGAGACATAAGCAAAAATATAAATGACCAGTAATGCCTTACCAAGCAAAAATATAAATGACCAGTAATGCCTTACCATAAAACACTGCCAATGAATTATGTAGAGACAATAGATTCTATACAGGAATTCAAAAGATGAAGAGCTTTTCCAGTTATAATAAGTCAGGAAAGACTTCATGGAGGAAATAGGAAGTACGGGTAGAATTGAGATCTATCAAGATAAACAACACTCTACATGGGTCTATGGAATAAAAAGATAGATGTAGGAAAACATAGATTTAGAAACAGTGAATAGAATCCGTGTGAGAGAATTCACGTAAGATGAAAAGGGCACATAAACCTGAAAGGTTAGATTGTGGATGGAGCTGAACCTAGAGGTTTCCACTATATCCTTAAAATAATGGAGAGCTGTTGATTTGTTGATTTTTTTTTTCCTTGACAAGGAGAAAAACAATAAAAACAGTAGTCTTCAATAGGACTTTCAATAAAAAGTTTCATCAGGACCTGCCCATTATCAGGGGACTGCAGAGCCAGGGGAATAAGCCAAAATATACGGAACTAAGATACATAATTGGCTGCATGGAAAGGGCTGTGGAACAGGATGTTTCATAGGCTCTCAAGAAAGAGCAAAGGCCTGTCCCCTAGCAGAGGCTATACTGAATCCCAATAGATCTCACCCTTGTCCCTACTCCATCCTTTTCCAATATTAGACTATAGAAAAGTAGACAAAACAATGCCCAGCCACCAAACTATGACTCTAAGAAGATTAACTTATTCCTAGATAAAGTAGGAAGTATGTCAAAAATTCATGCACAGCGTATCAGAATAAATGATTCTGGAAAGAGCTGTCCCATCAAACAAGCAACAAAACAGGGCATAACCAATCCAAACCAAGATCCTGAAGGTTACATTATGTAACCCCATCTGGAAGAAAATTTATGTCAAAAAAGCAGATTGTCTACCAAAGAAGAATTTAGTTATAGTATGAACTCAAAATATCAAGATCTTGAGGTGCCTGGGTGGCTCAGTCCATTAAGCATCCAACTCTTGATTTCAGATCAGGTCATGATTTCCTGGTTACTGAGCTATTCCTGAGTTGGGCTCCATGCTAACAGCACAGAGACTGTTTGGGATTTCTCTTGCCCTCTTTCACTGCCCCTCCCACTCATGTGCTCTCTCTCTCTCTCTCTCAAGGTAAATAAATAAACTTTAATTTATTTTAAATAATAAAAGTAACACAATAACAAAATACCAAGAGCTTAAAGATGGATACTAAAAATAAAAGCCAAGCTAAAAAAATAAATATAAACACAGTTTCAGATCTAGTGAATAGCTTTGAAACAACAGAACAACAAAAAAAAGGAAATCAAATTACCAGTATGGAAAAAACACTGGAAATTATCACAAGAAATGCAGAGAGAAAAAGGAGATTCAAGAGATATGAGGGGCACCTGGGTGGGTCAGTCGGTTAAATGTCTGACTCCTGATTTCAGCTCAGGCCATGATATGGTTTGTGGGTTCAAGCCCCACATCAGGCTCTGCTGACAGTGTGGAGCCTGGTTGGGATTCACTGTCTCCCTCTCTATCTCTACCCCTCCCCTACTCGCTATTGTCTCTCTTTCTCTCAAAAATAAATTAACATTAAAAAAATAAAATAGATGATGCTTAAGAGAGCAAAGCTAATCCAGCATATAGATCATTGGTATTCCTAAATTAGAAAAGTCAACAAATGGAACAGAAAAAGTATTCAGAAATAAAGTAATATATTAACTGAATCTGCACATTAAAGGCATACAGTGTATACTAGGAAAAAAAAGATGATAAAGTCTCCATGGAGGCAAAATTATTTAACTTCAAGAATAATACTTCAAAATCATTCATGAACTTTAGAGAGAACTATTGCACCATCTCTGCCAATTAGTAATTAAAGGGAAATGTTTAAGCATTTATTGTGTGTTTTGGGGGGAACTGAGGTTTATCCTCAGTTGATAAAGGAAAGCTATTTACCTAAGGATACCAGCTAATAAAGGTAAGAAAAATGGTAGATTTAGAAAATTATTCAGTGATGTAATTGATGCAGACAAAGGTCGTAAATGTATACTAAAATGATTAGATGAAAGAGTAATGCTAAAGAATCACTCTCACAGATTATGTACATTTAAATGGAAAG